ATTTGATGCTCTCATGACCTCCTCTGAAGGCGACTCACCCGATCGAAGACGAAAACGCGGCCTCGAATACGATGATAGCGACCTTAGGCCGTCTAAAGGTCCCCGGTTAAACGACGATGGGCAGTATCCACGACCTAGCCGAGGTGGCTTTGGTGGTCGAGGAGAGCGCGGAGGTCGCATGATGATTTCCGGCCGAGCGGATTACATGGACGGAGGGATGAACGGCGCGATGGATATGGGTATGGGTGGTGGAATGATGAATGGACGAGGGGCATATCGTCCACCAGACCGGGGCAGGGGTATATGCCGAGATTATCACAGTGCGTTGCAAGGACCCTTCACGTCGTGTCAAGCTCACATGGTTTCTTTTCCCGAGCACAGATAATGGCTATTGTGCACGCGGCGCGTTCTGCAAGTATAGTCATGGCGAAGACGCTGTCGTACCGGGACAGCTGTTCCCGATGAACGGCATGCCCGGCGGGTCATATCCAATGATGGGCACGGGTGACATGGCTTTCCAGATGGCAGGAGGTGCCAACGCGCCGTACAACCCGCACGAACGGATGGATATGCGTCCGATGGTTGGTGGAAGTATGGGCATGGGCACCGGCAGGACCCCACATACGCGGACGCCGATGCTCTCTCGACACGGCGACGTGAACAGCACCATGGCTGGCAAGCCTGGTGAGCTACCAGTAATACAAGACCTGACTCCTCGAACGCCAGAGAAGGAGGAGACACAGCAGGCTCATGTTACCAGCTCGACGAATGGTGCCATGCAGGGTATCGAAGGGCCGGCAGTGCGAGACTTGAGTCTGCCCATGAATCCCACGACAATGAATCCCATGGCTGGCTTGCAGAACACTTTCCCTCGTCAAAGAAATGGCCCAATGGCGCCGAAGGGCACGTTCAGGGAGACGCCAGGCTTCCTTGGCGAACGTCGACAAGACAAGACGCTGGTAGTAGAGAAGATTCCCGGGGACAAGCTGAGCCTGGGCTCCATTAACGACTGGTTCAAGCGCTTCGGGACGGTTACAAACGTTGCGGTCGATGCCTCTGGCGCGAAGGCTTTGGTCAGTTTCTCCACCCATGAGGAGGCGTATGCGGCTTGGAAGTCAGAAGATGCTGTCTTTGGAAATCGTTTCGTCAAGGTCTTCTGGCATCGGCCAATGGAGGGACATGGTCGGGTTGGCGCTCGTATGCTCGCAGCTTCCGCACCTCTTGTCGCCAAAGTCGCAAGCAAGGAGACTCCCCAGGCTCCGAAACCTGCTGCACCTGCACCTGCACCCGCCGCCCCTGCGAACGCGGCTCCCCGTAAACCCGCCCCGTCATCCGCCGTCTCGGCGCTTGCCGAAAAGCAGAAGCTGCTTGAGAAGCAGATTGCCGAGCAGAAGTCACTCATGGAGCGGCTGTCGACTGCTTCGCAGGAGGAGAAGAAGGAGATTATGGCGCGCTTGCGCAAGCTGAACGAGGAGATGAAGCCCTCGCCGCCGGAGTCGTCACCTGCTGGGCAGCCCTCATCGGGCAAGGGTTCGCCTGGCTCGACGCCGCGGACGGAGGAGCAGACGCAGAAGGAGCGTGAACGTCTCGACAAGGAGCTCGATCTGCACTACGCCGCAACAGCCACAGAGGGCGAGGGAGAAGAGAGCACCGAGGAGCTCAAGGCGCGCTTAGAGAGGCTCAAGGCTGAGGCAGCAAGCTTGGGTATCTCAACGGATGGCTCTGAAGGGGCACCATCGTACGGTGGAGGCGCGTACCGCCCGTATCGTGGACGCGGCAGGGGCGGACGAGGCTTCTTCCGTGGTGCCATGCGAGGTGGTCCACCGCGCACGAGCATGAAGCTCGACAACCGCCCGAAAAAGCTGCTTCTTAAGGGTGCCGGTAGCGATCAGTTGCAGAGTGTGCGGGATTGGTACGAGGTAAGCACTCGCCACCTGATCAATAGTTTTTGTTTGAGGTCTGACATTTCCAAATAGACTGCTGGGCAGGTGGATAGTGTGGACATCGCAGACGATGGTGACCTCTTGGTGTCCTTCAAATCTCGTGCCGCTGCCGAACAAGGGCTGGCGAAGGGCACAAACATCCCCTCGGTCGGCTCGGTCCAGGTATCTTGGTACATCGGCCAACCCCCGAACATGACGAATACGCAAAAGGTACCACCAGCATCCGTCGACCCCCCTGCTGGCGGCGAAGAGCACTCAGAGCCGCGCCCCACGTCGCCTGTGCACGATGATACACACATGCCAGAAGAGGAGATGGTGTCCAGCGGTTGGGGAGGCGTTGACGACGCCGGCGACGATTTCGATTTTGGCATGCTTTGATGCACCATGCGCTAGCCCTCAGTACCTTAATTCTCTAACGCTTTCTGGATGCTTTTAATCGCGTGCTGTATCCCTCTCTGTTTTGTGTATGTTCTAGTTGTTGACCTCGGTTGCTAAACTTTAAAGATGCCTTTGGTCCGTCCACATACGGCCAGGCGCTGAGGCCTATTTGGCTGCATTGCATTTTGTGTTATCTACCGGACATATGGCATGCTATGGTGAGTGATGTAAGGGACAACCAGATACTCCTGACTTGCATCCTGCGTGAGAGATACAAGATAGCAATAAATAGTGCAAGAATGCAGGTCTAATTACCATTAACCTTTCTACAATGGTCTTGGGACGAGAGTTGAGACAAGTGAAAAACCCCATCTAGTGTCTGTTGGCCTATGCATATGGTATAACGATGCAGTGAAAAGATCTTGATCTATCACCGATCTAGAGGGTTGGATGATGACGAGTGTGATATCCGTCCAGAGGGTATAATCTCCAACTGTGTCTGCCTCCGCGACCGTCCCCGCGCGCCGTCGCTTTCGTACACCGACTCAGCCAAGTCGGCAAGATTGCTATATCTCGCCGGCACGTCCGCCTGAGCGCCGTCCTCGTGCCTCTGCTTGCGCAGCCTGGACCGCGAACGGGATGCTGGCGAATGCTGAGATGCGGTGCGCGGGGAGGATGGGACAGGATCCTGTGAGACATTTGGAACTGATGCAGCAGGCCTGTGTCTACTTCGGCTCCGCGACTTCGTGACTAAGAAAAACCACGCATTGTCAGAAAAAGCGCGTACGCTCAACGACGGAGACTTACGTGGCATAACCATGGCTTCGTCGGAAGTGCTGCATCCGTCACTGCCGTTCGCCGTCAGCCACTGATCCGCGTAAACGCTTGACCGCGCCAGCAGCGGATTGTTGTACATGGGCTGCCCTTCCCGAGCGTACACCGCCTGCGAGGCCAGGGGTGCAGGCAGGACAATCTGCACACTGCTTCCAGGTCGGTGAGGCGGTCCGCCGTGATGGCTTGTAGCGACACTACGCCCCGTAAAGCCGCTTCCGCTCGTTGGCGAGTCGGAAATTTGCGACAGCCTCTGGCCGCGCGATGCTGAGGGAACGCGAGGGCGTGAGTGAGAACTGGGCGGGCGCGACATTTGTCCGCTCCGTGGGCGGCCCGTGCTCTCGGAGATGGGCGAAGGCGAAAGTGAGGTGGCAGAGGGTAAAGAACTTTGTGAGCCAGAGGCACTTTCGGCAAGGGTGTTGCGAGAGCTCGAGGCATCGGAGGCTCGGTAAAAGGAAGGGTTCGGAGGGTATAGTTTGCCGCCGTCCTCCTGAGAAGGCATGGTGCTCTCCGCTGTCATTTCATCTGTGTATAAACTAAGGTTCTTCTCGGGCTGGGTAAGTAAGGAGACGGCGCTGCCGGTGTATGGCGAACGAATGGGAGAATCCACCCATGTTCCCGGTCTACTTTTAGCGTTTGCGGCTTCAGTGAATGCGGCGCGTTGCTGTTCTCGGCGGTGGTGGGCGAGCTCTTGGACCGGAGGAAGAGGCACAGATGCTCTCGAGCCGCAACACCGAACGAGAAAACGCCATAGGAATAGTGTGAGGGCCAGAAGAAAGACGCAGCCACAGACGACTGCAATCACTATTATCGTGCCCGTCGAAAGGCCGCTTCCGCCGCCGCCTCCATCGCGCACGTTGAAACGGAATTTGGAGCTGTTCGGGGTATCATGCATGTGCTGTGTCGTGCAACTACAACCAAACGAGTGTCGGTAAAGCAAAAGAAGGTTGGAGACCACTGAATAATGGCCTTGGAGACGAGGACTGACGGAGGCAGAATAAAAAGTCAGGTCAGCCTCCGAAGCGGTGGCTGGGCGGCGACAGTATGATAGATGGACGCTTGCCTGGAATCAGACCGTGGGTATTTTTGGAGTTTGTTTATATTCAAACATACAGAGTTGCTCAGGTGGTGTCAACAGCTGCCACCCGTCGCGTCGTCGTCGTCGATGGTAGCGTCGTGAAAGACAACATTCTGTTCCGGACAATTTCGTTCGTCTGTGCGGTTACATGGGCGTCAGCGCGGTGCCTCGCTCGGAGCGCCTGTCGAGCCTGATCTTATCTTATCGGGCGACCCTGTTCAACACGAAAACGCGATCATGGCACTGGTTCTCTCGCGGTCGCCTCCCAGTCACCCCACCCCATGAGCATGGCCCTCGCTGGCCCCTCTCGAAGACAGACAGCACGCTCAATCCAGTCTGCAACGTCTTCTGACAAACAGCCCCCGCCGCCCAAGGTCGTCAAACCAGCCAGCCTCGCCCGCCGCCTGCTTTTCCCGCAACTCCCAGCTGATTCGGACCTTCCTCCGCTACTCATTTCCCCGTCGGTGACGCCAGAGCTCAACGATGAGCTTTATAACTTCGTAGCAACCGCTCTCAGAGCATACGTGCACCCCTGGTGGACGAAGATTACGCGTTATGACAAGGAGTTCTTACCCGCTATTACGCGTGTCGTGACCAATATCGTACAGGTCCTGGAGGCGCGTCTGACCGAGACAGACCTGTCGCCACTAGTTTTTCGAGACATTCCAATGCTTGTCTCCACCCACTACACCGATTATCGCAACGCACAAGCGAAATTGCAAACATCGTATGCCTCAGGCGGTGCCGCTACATTACCGCAACTCTTCCACCAGTTACAGCCGCATATGGCCGTGTCCGCCGACGGGAAGGTTGACGAGGCATATATTAGGCAAGCACTGGACGATGTTCTCAGGACCTGCTTACCTCCTGCGGACTACGAACCGGAAACCGAGCGGTACATAGTACGGGAAATCCTCGTAGATGTGGTGCAGGGCGGTATCGTTCCAAAGGTCACTCAGCCCTGGTTCATACACAGGACTATCTTGACGCTCCTTGGCCTTGAGAAGCGCAAACAAAGTGAGGTAAGCTATGTATTATCGAGTATCTCAGTCGGTTTGTGCATGGAAGTGCACCAGCTATCGTCTTATATCCAATATCTCAGCTCTAGCTCTGTTGAGGGTGCAGTACTGAATTATATTAGCTCACAGATCTTGCGACAGAAGGCCTAACGACACCGCAACGTCCGCCCTTGCAGAGGACTTCGTCGTACTCGCGTTCTTTCCAGTCACTCGTCATCTTTATACTTTCTACAGTTCGATCGGTTTCTGGGGCATGTTTGGCTCTCATGCATGCATACCGGAATGCAAGAGATACCATCAGGAAAGTGAATCAATCTAGGGAACTCTTTCCGACCCCTGCAGCGGGGAGTGAGAAAGAGAAGCCGCGGAAAACGATACCCGGCAGCTTGGACCCTCTGAGCCCTGTTCCTGCCTCTGCGGCATTCGCTCCCGCGTCTCCGCCACCTTCTCCTCTCCCTTCATCGCCAATACTATCCTTTGCTGGCCCAACAGCGCCCTCTATACCCACCCTGTCTGCTATACCCTCTTTTACACCTCCTGTTCAGCCCCAGCCGAACTATGTCCAGCCTATCTTACAGCTTATCAGCACTATTATCACTGGTCCCGCTTCTTCAACGACACCGCCAAGAAGCGTTCCTCTTGCCCTCACACATCTCCTTACGCTAATCCTCACGCCTTTCACGTCTCTCCTATCACGCCTCCTCCCGCACCTTCTCTACACTCATGCCTTTTCTCCCGACTCGCTACTCACCATCCTTCAAACAGCGCGAAACACCATGTTCCCTGGCGGCTGG